GAGAAAGCAGCGTCAAAAGGCTCCAGGACATCTGTAAAGATTAAATGTTTCTGAGAGGATGCTGTAATAACTGACACTGGTTTACACATGACTAGATATCCTGATAGAAATGTCGTTTCTTTTTCATCTTTGGTGATCACACATGAAGATGAAACCAGCTTCACAAGCACAATATTCAAAAATACTCTTTTCTATTACATTATTTAAATGAAGACGCATTATTCGAACATTGGTAATGACGTGCACAGTGTAATACTCATACATCAGACACTTCTACCATGATGTATACGATGGCGAATCTAAAACGCTTTCATTCACAGTCGTTGTGGGCTCATCTCTTTCCTATACCACTATAATTACGACTAATAAGTTGCAATGCTTCTAAAGCCGAAAAACAATATTGATCACTACTTTGGATAGTTCTGTCAAACCTCCGTATTATTACAATCTCATGGTGCCTGATGATATTATACAAAAATTGGACAATACCTCGTATGCTATCAGAGCAGCTTTTTGGGAATTACATTTATCTTGAACGATGAATTTATTCCACATAACATCCATTTAGATACGTGTACACCAAATCTTCACAAGTATTGCAGAATGTAACACTTGTTTCATTCGTTCCGCTGCCTTGAAACTATCACTCGTAGAGGTCATCGTGTTCCGGTATCTAAAATTCTTGCCTAACGTCGATGTTTCTTCCTCATTGAAGAAAAACAGTGAAGATGTTATCAATCTAACACAAGAGTGAGAAACTACACAAAAAACCGGCCTGGAGAGCTGGAGAGTTGTGTTGGTGTGCATTGAAAACCCTCAAAAAGAACTGACGTCATAATTGCTTTGCGTTAGCTGGCTCTCTATCAGAATTGAAATACAATAGCCGCTTATGAATATGCCCATAATGCGATATCCTACTATGACCTTTAGAGCACAACTATACGCGTTGAGGAAATGTTGGACAGGAAAAAACTGCGTGTGATTATTTCAGTTTCTGAAATAAATGAAATGTATCAAAACGTGAGCAAAGATCAAATGACTACTGCATAACACCACTGTTTCAAGTCGTTAACAATTTACAAACATTTGCAGTGAAGTCATCTACCATGCAGTTATAACCCGAAATGTTGATTCTACTGGCTCTCGAGTGACATGCGACGCTGAAAGTACGGCTATTTCCAACGATATTCATGGAAAAAGCCATTTATAGTAGTTTTCGTTGGTTTGTCATCAAACAAGATATTACTTTATGGAAATCTCTTCAATAAGTATATGAAAAAAATCCATATTCCATGAAAACATGAAAAGATGTTAAGAACAAAGAGAAATAGCGATTTAGAACTAAACGAGTGGATCCCTAAACTGGGAATTGTTCCGGTTCAGGCAATATCGGAAGAAGCGATTAAGAAAGCACATATACTAAGAACTATTTCACCTGTACTTCAACCAGCAATAATACACCTTAAATATACGGTACAATATAACATATTTTGCTGAGTCATGAAGATGACATATTTATGTCGAATATATGAACTGTGAAGTATGTCAATGAGATGCAATGTGTGGGCCCAGTAGTGAAAGACGTGTGTTATGCCGATGTAGCAGGAATCTTTCCGTCGTTGACGTGCTATAAGAACGATGCCGACCCATACTGAAAGAAATATGTTTCCATCAAAGTTCTCTGTAGCCCAGTGTTTCACCTAAAGCCGTTTTGCTCTCTGAACATTTCTCAGCTTTACTGGTGATTCTTACGAAATGACAGCAGCAGGTGGAAAAAAAATTTGTTCGAATATTGCATTTAATTCGTTTTAAATATTCCTACTGAATTCGAGCTGTTTCGTAATCCGGATATTGAGCAGCTTTTCGCCAGTGTTGACAGGATATCGCATATGTCAATGTGATCATATATTTTTCATAGTTACCGTCTATGCTCAATACAGTACAGCACTTTAAAATCGCTGTCGGACAAAAAAGGATAAAGCTCTCGACGTTGGCCAATCTGAAGGATGCGCCATGCACAATCTCTGAAGGATGCGCCATGCACACGACTTCATTAAGCATCACTGAATGCGATTGAATGCATATATGACCTTTAGAGTTACTTGCGGTGACCTATTGATGGAACCAGCGCTGCTATCCTCCTAGAGAAGACTGATGCCAATTTTCCGACCCCGGAGGGATGGAGGGCTTGGCTAACCTGGGGCGCGGAGATCGATCCTGTGTGTATTGCAGAACACCTCCGACCACCACGCTACGCACCGTCGAAAGTGCTTTTGAATGGACATTCCCGGAGGTGAAAATTGATAGTCTACACAAATAACATTGTTGAACAATTAAATTTCTGCAGAAGGAGTGGCAATGACCTCAGATAGAAAAATTGGTGGCATTGTGATATCATAATGGTAAAGCAATATTAGATAGATATTCAAACAGGAAGCACTTCACGTTCATGTGGATGTGGTTGGTCTCTAAGTAGGATATGCGGTCCGATTTCTTAGTGTAGCACCTGATTCCCGTTACCTTGAAGATTGAAGTTCTATAAAAGATATGTTCTTCGATAGAAACACAGTTAGATTGTCCCCACTCCCTCTTCTATCCATTATTGAAAACATCATGGCTCTATATTTCATTACAATAGGTATTCTCACTCCAATATTGGATATTTCAATGGAAAAGCTCAAACCTACTTTTCGATCCATAAAGTTTATCTTAATATATTATAAAGCATGCTTCCTCCCAACGGTTTACCACCTTGTCGTGGTTGGAAGGTGTTCCTGGGTGTCGGGCCGCGATGTACAGCGGCGAGATTCATGCCTTTGGCAGGGTCTCCCAAGCTGAGGAGTTCGGCGTTTCCATCAGGAAACCATGCTAAGAGTAAACCAATACCAGGATCCGTTACCGCACTGTACTAAACTAGTCGTATGGTATCAAATCTCTGATCCACAAGGATGGCAACTGCCTGTGGTGGTGACAACCTAGGGCAAACTTTGGCTAGGCTGACCACTGGACTCCAAGCGACCGCAATAGCAAACCAGCAAAACTCACAGAAAAATAGAGATTATGCTCAGCGTCGCACAATCAGGGAAGACGGACCACCTAAGTGCTCAAGTAAGTAAAACATGGTTAGTTCGACTATATTAATTAGACAAGTTAGTGAGTATAAGTAAATAACAACAATCGTTACTGATCTTCTCACGACAGGCACATGACTCCAAATGATTAAGCGATCAGATCGTATCTAGTGCAGTTTAATGTAATCGACAACAAATACGTCTGTCGCCAAAACTTTGTAATTTTCTCCTTGAGGGTAACAAGGGACTATCGAGAATTTTTACTTGCGCTGAACATTTGCAAATCAACATTTTCACTGACAAAAGCGTAAACATTTGACAAAAAAAAATTCTCATCAGCATAAAGAATGGAGAGTAATGAAAGTAGAGATGTAGGGCACAAGCTACTCATAGCAAACCCTTTCGGTAACGCGCACGACATTTCTGATCCCTCAATCGTTTTACTTATGCGTCACCAACATTGCACTTATTTCATTAACCTGCTTCGGCTTCTTTTCACTGTTCGTCTCCATATAAAAACTGATGAAGCCTGGAGACTCGAAACGAGAATGATGATTGGCAGGCTACTGTTTCGGCGATATACTTGACCTCCCAACAGTATCCATTGTGCACTTTATTTGAGGCCGGCACCAATGCTGTATCCAGTATAAAACGACAGAAACTATGTCTCCTTATACTTTGAAGCAATCTTGGAAGACTTGGAAGAAAGTTTGGAGGATTTTCTACAGATTTTTGGTTTTCAATTTCTTCAATAGTGTTTCGAGACATGAAATACGAAGAACAACAGTAATAGTGCGAAACACTTCTTTCCATGAACGTCTAACAATTCACTATCTACATAAGAATTTATCCCATGAAATTGATCAGATAATTCGATTTGGCGCTATTCACGTCATTCATTCCGCACTTTTGCAATTTCATATAGAAAGGACGTGATTACCACAGCCTACAAGTTCTCATAAACTAATCTTACTCGACATCCTTCATAAATCCAGTCTCTATTTGCTTTCTACTGGTCCAGGTCGTAATGGTTACGCAAGTGCTTATCCACATTCCACGATCCCAGTTTTTTTCCTCTTCTGCTGTTCCACCTTTATGGCATGAAAAGAAATGATGTATGATTGCCTGCCTTTTCCTGTACTTTTAAAGTCATCAGGATGTTAGCACGAATTCTAAAGTCGGCATATGATGACTTCATGAGATATGTACTCCAAAAAAAACCTTGTCAAATACTTAATTAGCGAGTTTCTCAGCGCTATCAACATGTAGCAATTTGAACAAAATATGAAGAACATTCTTTGAAAGTACATACACATAATAAAGACAAAAAGATACCAAATTCATGCTGTCTTCTTAAGCTATCGCTAACCCAGAAGACTGGAAAACTGCAAAAGTAAAGTAACGTCACTCAGCAGTGCTCTTAGTCACTTCAAGACAAATAAGGTTAAAGGTCACTGTTGAGTTAGGTTACGCCACTCGTGCGATTTTCCACTCGAAGGACTCGATTCGAGCAAATTCGAGCAACTACATCAAGAAAAACAACTGCTGCGAACACTGAACTCGAATCGCTGCAGTTCCAAAGAAAGTGAAGATGCTGAAACGAACAACAACAACAGCTTTATAACAACCTTGTGTTCGCTTATCTACATAGCAAGATAATGATTATTCATAACGAAGCCAGAAGAAATCCGCTTCATAAAAGCAATACAGTTGATGATATGGCAAGCAGTATCAGAAGCGAAAAATTGTAAATGAACACAAACGTACTAGAGATCGACAGAAATGACACAACCAACACATTCTTCATCGATGAGCCATTCTCACATAGCATAGGCAGTATCAGTTCAATTTCCATGATGAAATAATTATCCGCAAAAAAGTTAACAAATATCACAAATAAAACTTTAATACCTTGTAAAACTAAAAACTCTATAGATAACCCGTCACTGCACGTTCATTGCGTTTCTCTCTCATACGACGATCATGTTCCTCTATACGACTACGGTGCTTCTCAGCTCGATGCTCAAAACGAAAACGTTTTAACCCATACAAATTATTACGAACAAATAAAACAGAGTTCTAAGCAAAATAAAACAATACAATCTGTATACGTCAACAGAGGCGAATGTACTGCAGTGGTTGAAGGTGCATTGCAATACACACGTGATCATTGGTTCGATACCCAACTAATGGGCTACCCAAGCTTTCTCTAGCACAGAGGTGAGGAAATTGGTATCAAACTTGTCTTCGAAGACAAAAAAAAACAGAAAATTTAATCGTTAAGCTACTGCATTCTACAGGATCAGCTATGCACCTAATCACCTCTATGACAATAGGAATGGAGTGAAATGCACACGCGCCTCTATCCTTGCTCTTTTGATCACTAATAAAAGTTATATTAGACAAACACAATAAATACAACCACAACGTTGCTGAGATATTTGCAAAACTCTGGACCGCAGGTGTCTATGGTGGGGNGCGCGTTCGTTCCCCACCATAGACACCTGCGGTCCAGAGTTTTGCAAATAACTCAGCAACGTTGTGGCTGTATTTCGCTTAGTACCCTACCGCGAAATTATAGTAGGCAGAAAATAAAAAGGTATAACAATAAATACAATTATTATGCACTGTTAAAGAGAGATACCAGCTTTTCTAAGCTGAAATTCATATTCTTCACATTATTCTCCCGACCTCATCATTTAACGGCATGCATTGTATTTAAAGATTTAAAGACAATTTGACCTTTCCAGGCTCTGAAGAAGGCAAAATCGCCGAAACCTCAGCTATTGCATCCTAATAAATTCTATAACAACTTCGTTTCTGCTTATTGAAGAAAAACATCGAATTATTTAAAAACAGTTTTTCTTTCAACATGATTCAAAAAGATTTTTCCCAATACACCTGAACGACACGTTAACTTCTACTACAATTCTATAGAAAGCTAATGCCCAGTTTCGCAATAGCTTGAAGTAAACCATTTTTCAACAAGGTGTATTCCAACAGGTTCTTTCCAATACTTTAAAACAACACGTTAATTTCTATCATGACTCCATAGAAAGTCAACACCTATTTTTTCGCAACTATTTGAAGAAAAAACTTTTTCACAAAGGTGAACAAATTATGAAGTTGAAATACCGCACGAAGCGTCGAGTCAATATCGTCGTCCCAGGCTGGCATTTCCTCATCATCCAGATCACCAAGCTGAGCACTCAAAGGCTAAAATGAAGGTATGAAATTTCTCGTCTACGACCATACTTTTCATGTAAGTATTCACAAAAAGAACCAACATAATAGATAACATATTAGATATACATTATAACACCTAGTACTAACTGATATCCGCATATATTTACAGCGACGATAACAATAACAATAATAATAATACCAACAACAACTATGTCGAAAAGATGATGTCCGTCCGTAAAGTTTTATATAGGTCCACTTAGAAGAACATTAGAACTTCCGGTATTCTCACACAATAAATTGTTAGATAATCACTTCCTTAATTACTTTACTGGTTCGAAATCGACATAGCAATAGTTTTTGTATTCTGGCCTCCGGACATACTTTTAGAGCTCCCCACTCATCCCACATCTAATTCGCAAAACAACAAACTCTGTCTACTATCCCCATCAGCCATCTGCATCGAGCATCGTGATCCTACACTACAAAAGCCACATACTTCCAAGCAACAGAAATTTGGTACACCCAGAACTAAGAAAAACCAAATGCATTGTTACTGTACAACGAATTACATTGTCCTGCAAACACGTACCGATGGACTAAAAACATCATAGTTGGTGTGATTACGTAGCACTCAACGGCTAAATGTTATAAGCAAAAAACATGTGTAAATTCTCAATTTTCCTCGTCTTCATAGATGTATTGCCTGAACGTACAATAATATCCCCAACATTCCGATTTCATTTCCCCACTTTGGGACGATCTAGAATCTATTATCGCATAAACAAAATCTACCGTTCGCCGATCACCGGATAGCGCGATGCATCCGGAAATTCCGCTCGTCACATGACAATGTCGAAATGCCCGCCTGTGTTTAGCATGTCACGATGATCTGACATGACTAAGTCTATCAGTATAGTTTTTGAAACTGATTGCCTCCCACCACAACGCACGACATCATTCGCCCCTACATCATCCATCGTTCACCATCATCTCACGTTGTTTAACACCAGAAGAAACAGTCCACACCACATATACGACAACCGGTTTGCTAATGGTGCTATAACGAACAAGAAAAAAAATGAATTAAGATGAAGCATCAATATCTGCTTAACAAATTTGCGACGGCACCTAGTTTCTCATAGTTGGCGCATGGAACGATGGCGAATTTTCTGCTGGACGTACTGATTTTTCCACAATAAACTTTGTTGTATCAATAACAAAAGCATCTAAGCTGTCGTGAACATGACAGGATTGTGGACAAGACTTTGCTTCATCGTTCCATAGGTAGAAATGGCACGTATGATACTAACTACTACACGCTAATATGCACACACTTTGATGTCTGCATTTGGAAAGCTTTGCAGCTCATGTCGAGTTTATTTTTGTGCTTTTCATACCCGTCCATTCCATAATATAACTGTGATTCATTATATTAGAATTTAAAGAGTAGTTAATTTCAAGTCAAGTTCCTAGTTAATTGCGAGCCAAATTTCTGGTCAACAAGGGTGTTCGAGAAAAAGTTTTTTGCATATTTCTAGGTGCAGAATATAGCTTCCCCCGCTTGATCACGTCACAAAACCTGAGTTGGAAAGCTACCGAATGACTACAAAAAATGTAGAAAAAAAAAGGTTCCTCGTTAGAAACTATCACGAACATAGTGACCTCTATAGAGGTCATACCGATCTCAATGTCCTATTACGAATGACATCTATAGAGGTCACGCTGCCTCAAATGTGTTGAGGCTCTCCAGGATTTGAAGACATGTGTCTTTAGCTATATACTTTAAATCGAAAGTTCGAAATTCGCATCACTTTGAAAATAAATACCAAACAAATACAAGCGTTACAAGTGATATAATATATGGATGTCGACTCCAAATACTTCATTTTTCTGCAAATAACAAAATCAGGACACACAATTTTGCATATTTCCTACCGTAATCACCTTTACGGTTTACCCATCAAATCTACCACTTCTGGAAACGATTCACGTTGCACCGGTAATGAATATGAAGTAACCTTCAAACGATCGCTCTAGAAACAATAGCTATGTCGGTCTAGAAATCCATATGATATACATACTCACCAAACGAAAATACTTAATGAGGAGCATTCCTCACTCACGCTTACGAGCAAAAGCAGTAATTGTTACAAGATCGAACAACTTATTCATGCTCCATTCAAAACAATCTACTGATCACATTTCTCAAGAGAATTCCCTCGTACGCACACTACAATATTCCTTAAATTTACTTTCATCACTTACCAATATATCGCCCATCTGAATAGCGTTCACCACTCTTGATTCTTAATCTCATCAATGCGAGTTCTTCAAGGGTTAATTTTTGAGTGCTAATAGAATTGTCCAAAAATTGAAGAATGGTTTTGAGTTCGTTCCGATGACTACGACAATAACTACGATTATATGCGACCTTGCTGGTAGTGAAAACCTCCATCCCGCCCACCTTTACGAAATGCTAGGGCGGTATAATGCAAAACTTCATTATGTTCGACGTTCCATATTTCTCCCACCAAATATAGTCAACATCACCTATCTCATAACCAGAAATTGTACTTTTCCACCTAACTGCTCCCATTAATTGGACAGGCTCCAAGTGGTACTATTAATAGTATTTGGAATACTTCCTCGTGTTACGCCGTTACATACTATCTAAACCAAAAACATTCCATTTCCAAAAGCGCAAAAATTTTACTAAGCATCGCTACCATTAACATTAACTCTGCTAGCATGAAATCTGAATCACTCAAAAGTAGCCAGCTTCGGAAGGAAGGACTACCACAGCTTTATCAATTTAACGCGACTTTGGTCTTTGTTCTGAAGTGTATAACGAAAGCTATCTACTCCTCATGACTTCCTTTCAGATATGCTACGAATGTTCTTCGCCCTACTTATACCTACGTTTATTTACGCGGCCGTACAATGTTTTGTTGGCCAGAAACTGTTCAGCTACGAATCGAACAATGTAAATTCTCTATTTTCGACCACTTAACCAGAAATGTGGGCAAGCTACAATTTATGAAGAACAATTAAATCGTTAGCGCAAGTCGATCACATTTTTCGTTATCGGCCGCAAAGTATAGTTTACCTTGCTGAAAAACAGTAAGCTGATCTCCCGTCAATCCTAGCCCTGAATATTAAATTTTAGGCTATCTGCGCTCGATTCGTTCCTTACCACTGCGCTACACTCTGTGAATGGCGGAGAAATTGTTCCTCACACCTACCATTTGCAGTATTCCATGGAAGGAGAACATTCGTCTCTGGACTACTCATAAACTCAAGATCTCTCATGGTTCTTTGCTGCGTTTCACTGGCTACAAAAGTTGAAAGTGGTTAGTGTCATGAAAACTTCAAATTTTCATTCATGTTAACGACGTATCGCAAGGTAATTGATTTACTGTCTTTGGAGGAGAAAATTTTAAAGATTCACGTCGGACTTCCCTCACATATTTTAAGATTCCGCCTCTTTATGTCTTATCTAAAGACTAAACGAATAACTTAATAAGTCAATGCACCAAAGACAGCGGTGTAGACTAGGATCAAGTCTAAAAAATAGTTACAGATGACAGAGGTCGCGAAAAATGTGCATGGCGTGATACTGAGTCAATCGTTATCTTGGGTCCTTCAATTCGTACCAATCCAGTGCTGGCACCTAACCACTACATCAGGTTTAAGATTTATTAGAACATGAAACATTTTGTACTACGAAACAGAAAATGTCATCAACACCTAATGCTATCCCTGAAATGCACTTAATACTTGGAAATTTTATCTTAACAAAAATTCATGCGGGCCTTGGCACATTTTCTATTTAAAATATACTGCTACCTTAGTAAAATTTTTTCCAAAAATTCTAAGTAATGCCACCTCAAAATTAGATTTCTTCCAAGGCGGCGGCGACTTCTGGTATTGATTCACTTCAAGCTAAGATCTTGTATGGAAATATTATTGACCCTCCCGTACTTCCTGGATTCCCTCCAAAAGTGCAACTGAAAATGCAACTTTTGCAAAGAGTTCACATCTGCGTTCACCAAATTTTACGACGTCACAGTACTATGTATGGAGTATTGAACTGTGTTTTAACAGTTTGAGTTCATGGCCTAAAGTTAAAACAAAAAGAGTGAAATTCATAATTAGGGATGTTCGAATGCTACACGATGGAGCTTCACGAGTTGATGTGACCCTTGAAGTATGTCAATATGAAACCGAGCGAGAACATTGCAATACTGAAGTATGTCAATCTGAAGACTAAACTCCAACTCTTATGAGCAACTGTCCAACGTATCCAATTCTAGAAAATGACCGAGATCGAGAAGAGGAAGTTCAATCTCATTGAAAAAAAAATGCAACGTATTGAACGAATTACATCAGCAGCACAGAAGAAAAGTGAATCAGCAGCAAACACCATAAACGATGATAAAACTACCAGCGACTGTGAGACAATAGCAAATAGTAAGTTTCTCAAGGCATACATTTCCGTAAGATACGCTGCCATGGTTATTGAATACGCTTACGTTTCGTCAAATCTTATAAAAATCAGAAAGAAAGAGGATTTTACCTCGAAATAAGTGAGCAATCGCAAAAGGTTTCTAGAACATGACTTTTTTGAAATAACTGAACTGAAGCGTGATATTACAGAGGACTGTGGAAGAGAAATCCAATCTCAGAGTATAAAATGCTGCAACGGTAATTCTGGCTGCGATCGTGACTGCTTGAAAGAAGTGGAAAAATTACTAGTAAGTAGAAGAACAACTATCATAGCTATTGAGACTTTACCCAATGAATAACTTTGGAGACAGACATAACGAACTAGGAAGAGGAAAAATAAAAAATACGAAAAATAATAAGAAGAAGAAGAAGAACGGAGTCAATGTCAAGTTTAACGGATTTTGGACTTAAAACTTTTGAGTGACAGCAAGTACCCCAGTAATTAAGCACCACATCAAAACGGAACTACTAAAAACAAAGCCTACCGTATACACAATCTTAAAAATGCAGAATGAAAATAAAGTTCCAGTATTGTTTCCCCTAGTTAGCAAAACCGTGTTTCAGTTTCTGTGATGAAGTAAATCAATGCACTTTAGATAGAAAAACGAGATCGTAATACCAAAGGATGCAATACACAAGAAATTCAACTCGCCATACACTGCGCTGACCGAAAGCTCAACAGTCTCATCTCCTAACGAAAGTCAACTTCATTCGTCATCCGAACTGCTTTCAATAACAAGAGAGAGTAAAATACAATAAGCATAAAACCGTCTCCACTCACCACATCAACTCTTGTATCGTCTGAGAATCCAAACAGATTCCTACTGCCGTCTGAACTTCCCTGCGACATCGTTGACTTCAAGACGACCTGGAACGACAGTTGCTTCCTTCAATAACGTTAACCAGTCAAAAACGATAAACTTCCGAGGAAAACGTACCTTCTTTGCCTTTTCAATGTTAGGTTGCATATCATCGAAAAAATCAATATCTCTTATTGACGAGTGATTTGCCTCCATCTAAACAGTTACTTGAATAGAAATACAGGAACGCAAATACAAAAACTTAGAACAATATGACTCAAAAAATCTACTTTCTATAAACCTGCATAAATAATCGACATGTTCATTTATATGTTCTTACGAACTGATCTTGTTAAACCAATGCGAGGCTAGTATAAGTTGTCGTTGTTGTTGTTGTTAGTCGATGGCTGACGTCTCGGCGATTTCGCCTTCCTGAGAGCTGTGCTGTTACGGGTAGGACTCCCAACAACAACAACTTATACCAACCTCGCATTAGCTCAACAAGATCAGTTCACGAAAGCAACAAGAGCATAATAGTCGAGCAGAAACTTCCCATCACTGCAACGTAAATCGTTTTACCGACCTTTTTACGTCTCCATTCATCGATACGCTCCTGTACAGCTTGCTTTTCGCTCCAACGACTATCCCAACCAGTTGATACTGATCCACTCGGATATGGATCTTCCGGAGCAGTCTGCCGCACGACAACTAGAAAATGGGCTCTGAGAATAGAGATACTTACTATCTCAACCTTTTTATTTACTGCCTATTCTTTTTAACGGCAGGGTATTTGCGATAGAACTAGCTGAGAGACAGGTGAAACGAAGGACCCGCATGGTGTGGTGGTGAACGCCTTACTCACTGGTAAAGGCCAATAGTGTATTCGTTCCCCACCGCAGACACCTGCGGTCCGGAGTTTTGCAAATATCTCAGCATTACAGTAGTTATATTTCGCAAATACCCTGCAGTTAAAAAGAATAGGCAGTTAATAAAAAGGTTAAAATTGTGATTATAACTATATCCTCAGCATACATTTACTTCCATAGAAAAACACAATAGAATACAACACTAGCTGACGTTTCGGCAATATCGCCTTCTTCAGAGCCTGGAAGGGTATACTGATATACAATCTACTAGGCCAAATGCTTCAATAACACCTACAAAAAGACGAAAAACTCTTTGGTAATTACATGATCAACAGCTTCTCGAAAAACTCACCGCTTTTTTTTCCGTGACTTCCAAAGAGGAAGTTTACAACAGCTGATTATAGTCGCATATGGTTGATGACTGCACCATCCCACATCAAAAATCGATGCGAACATACAGGGTCAGGTACGGCTTTTCGTCTTTTTGCAGGTGTTATTGAAGCGTTTGGCTTAGTAGATTGTATATCAGTGTACCCTTCCAGGCTCTGAAGAAGGCGATACTGCCGAAACGTCAGCTAGTGTTGTATTCTATTGTGTTTTTCTATGGAAGTAAATGTATGCTTTTAAAAACCTCGCGATTGCTGAACGAGAAAACGACGCATTCATATTCCAATGTCGAGGTTAATATAAAGTCGATCTTGGGAACTATATCCTCAGCATAACTGGGTTCGTTGCCGATTTGGGCTCCCCAGATCAACCCCGTTGACGGGTGATTGTTGATGGCAAAAGATCGATAGAACTAGCTGAGAGACAGGCGAAACGAAGGACCAGCATGGTGTGGTGGTGAACGCGTTACACCACGGAAAGGACAATAGCGCGTTCCTTCCCCACCGCACACACCTGCGGTCCTGAGTTTTGCAAATATCTCAGCATTGTAGTAGAGATACTTACTATTATATGCGAAAAAAGAACGAGAAGGAAAAACTCTAAAGTAACTAACCGGTAAATGGTAACTCTCCGATGTTGTCACGTTTACGTGAACAACACAACGATCTCTTCGCTAGACCAAGCACTGATTGAAATAGTCGAATCATTCGACTACAAAACATCGAAACCAGATCCATCTAAAAATCCACAATACTCTACAATGGGAAGATAGTGCGGATTCACCAGAATCATGAAGAATCGAAACTTTAAACTTTAAACTAAACTTTAGACCGGAAATTTCTACACATCAGGCACCGATATTTCGTAGAGATGGCTGCGAAATCTTCTAATTACTCATATTCATAAGCAATTACAAGTATATTTGTACTACACTATAGTTTCGGAGAATAAGTTAAGCTTCAATGTATATTTTCTACAAATATTTTTCACGTTTCACGAGTAGTCCTTTAAATTGCTATTAGAGCACGTTATATCACACCAAAAAAACGTTTACTGATATCGCCACTGAGCATGGTTACGCAGCGGTGTTCAGTACAAGTAGTAGTGGCTTCTACTTAATGTGATGTGGAACTTTTGAATTTATGTCTACTACTGTACTTCTTGAAAAATTTATTAGTTCTTGGATTGTTGAACGATGAAAACTTGAATCCCTAGGTATAAATGTTCTGCACAAAGACTGTGTTAACATAACTGTTATTCCCACAGAAGCAGTAATCTCGAGTTCGAAGCTCAACTGATGTTGTGAATTTTGCTCATATCTAAACATCCTTGTCGTTCTATTTCACATTATAACCTGCCATGGAAAAAGAACCGGCAGTATATAAAAGTTAAATCCGTAAATGTTGTTGTTCAGAAAAATCACGGAAAACATATGTCACATGCAATTACCTAATCCGATTAAAAATGACTTATGAATCTACTGGGTTTTGTATTATCTGTGATCATGCCAGTGTCTCCACGGATCTCCCTCATATGAGAGATCTCAGCCGGTTAGTCGCGAGGCTCGTGGCGCGTCACCAGGTGGTGGATAGAAGGTTAATTGCGAACCAAAAGCGAACTTTGCTTTCCTGAGACGTAGATGGACCCAGGGGATGGACTCCCTCTTTCTGCTTCGCTGATTTGACACAAACTTTCTGTATTTGCTAAGCGTATTCATGCATACGTGTGTGGGTGCGTTCTCGGTTATGCGGGTTGTATTCTACGAGTCATTTCGGCCAAAAGCCAGCAATCAGGTGACAGGAAAGTATATGGGAGGCGGTTAGGTGTCCCCTCCAACAAGTAAGCTCCATCTCTATTCTGGGACAGCCTGGCAAGCTACCCTTGAGTACACCCAGCCCCCACGTTCAGAGCCCAGCAAAATATACGTGGTTATCAAAATGCTAAACACAGTAAAAAAAAAAAGGGCCTCATACCCGTGACCTCGAAAGAAGCTCCAATTTCACAGCTTTCGGTAGGACGAGTACGGAGAGGCTACTAAGATCTCAGGGCCAATAGAGGCTGCCTGGATTGCAAAGAACTAGGGTGACGATCTGTAACTACAATGCACGTTCACTTGCATCCGAGTCCTCGATAGAAGAGTTGGTCATGCAAGCAAGAAGGATAAGGTACGACGTCATCGGCCTGGCCGAGACGAGACGACGCTACCCTTTCAACGGCGTCTGTGTCACCGGAAAAGGGCTGCTTCTAGCAACATGAGACAGTAGAGGAGTCGGAGGAGTCGGCGCTCTCGTCAACACGAGTTTGTCCATGAACATTGACTTATTCGAACAACTAACAACTCGAACCGAACGTTTACGGTTAAAAAGATGTGGATCAAGACCGGCTTTGACAATGTTCGTCGTTTACCATCAAGACCGTGTTATTGTTCAAGAAGGGTGACTTACACGATATCGGAAACTATCGCCCAATCTGCTTGCTGTCCGTCGTCTACAACCTTTTCACTCGAGTTATCCTAAACAGGTTAGACAGAACAGTGGACGAAGAACAGCCATATGAGCAAGCAGGGTTTCCAAGAGGATTTAGTACGATGGACCACATCCACACAGTAACACGGCTCATTGAAGTATCGCGAGAGTACAAAAGACCGCTCTGTCTCACTTTCATCGATTTACAGAAGGCCTTTGATTCAGTTGAGATAGAAACGGTCTTGGAAGCCCTTGATAGTCAAGGAGTCCCTACTCAGTACATGAAGGTTCTTCGTGAACTGTACAAAAATTTCACAACCAAGGTATCACCATTCTACAACGATATTACCATTTCAATGATGCTGAGATATTTGAAAAACTCCGGATCGCAGGTGTATGCGGTGGAGAACGAACGCGCTATTCTCCACCGCATATATCTGCGGTCCGGAGTTTTTCAAATATCTCAGCATCATTGAAGTTATATTCCGCAATGTATACCTTACCGTTAAAAAGAGTAGGCAGTAAATAATAAGTTAAAATTGTGATATTAACATTGACGTCAAAAGAGGAGTTAGGTGAGGTGATACCATCTCGCCAAAATTATTTACCATCACCCCCCAAAACGTCATGCGAACATAAAAGTGGGATAATACGGGAGTGAAAGTCGATAGTCGGCAGTTACACCATCTTCGCTTTGCTGATGACATCGTCCTTATAACACCCAACATTAGCCATGCGGAACGTATGCTTGCTAGCTTTGATAGAGCTTGTGGAAAAATTGGTCTTCGACTAAGTCCCACAAAAACGATGTTCATGAAGAACTGATCGGTTTCTTGCGCCCCATTCACGCTCAGTGGAACGAATATCTCCGATTGCTCCAGTTATGTCTATCTAGGTCGGGAAATCAATATAATGAACGACTTAGCCCCAGAGCTGGGCAGAAGGAAACGGACGTCTTGGGTAGCTTTCAAGAGCATCGAGGATGTAGTGAAGAGACCAAAGAACATCCGACTCCGTGCCCACCTTTTCGACTCAACGGTACTTCCTGCCCTAACATATGCGTCAGAAACCTGGTCGCTTCGTAAGCGGGATGAAAGGTCACTCAGCGTTATCGAACGCGCAGTCGAAAGGACGATGCTAGGAGTACCCCGTTTCACGCAAGTAAGAGAGCAGATGCCAAGCTCCGACCTGCGTCAACGATCAAAAATCAGAGATGCCGTTCTGCACGCCAAACAGTCGAAGATAAGTTGGGCTCAGACACATAATGCGTATGAATGACAACCGATGAACAAGAGCCGTTAGTGACTGGATTCCTTGGGATGTCAAACCTACTGCTGGAAGACCACCGACCCAATGGTTAGAGTTCTTCACTAAAACCTTATAAGAAAGATATGATGCTTGACGAGTCTTTATGGCGCGCAGAACCCACTGGGGTACTCACGCGACAGGGAAAAATGGGAGATTTCTCGACGATCAACGAGACAACAGGTGATACGGGTGACATGTCAGTCATGAAGCGACTCTGATGGGTAGCGCTGGAAGCATCCATTCAGTGAAGTTGTTCGCCACGGAAGGCCAGGTACTGACATGGTAGTGATGTATTGTTACTGGTTATATGACACTCAGCTGCCAGCGGTTTACCGCCTCATCACGGCTAGAAGGTGTTTCTGTGTGTCGGGCTGCGATGTTCACCGGGCGACTTCACACCCTTGCAGGGTCTCCCACGCTGAGAAAGAGTCCGGCGTTTCTATCATGAAGCCAAGCTAAGGGTAAACCAATGCCAAGATTCACCACCGTCCTGTTATTGAAAAGGTCGCATGGTGGCAAATCTGGTGGTGACGAGCTGGGGCAGACTATCGCTAGGCTGACCTCGGCACTCCTGGGTAACTCAGCGGCTAAACCAGCAAAACTCCGAAAAAATGACATTCTGCAGGAGCCTGCACAACCAGCGAAAGTTGGCCAACCAAATAAGTAAGTATAGGCTCCTCAGGTATGGTTTCCCAAATGCTCACAATATATCTTCTTCGGAGCCTGGAAGGGAATATTGGTAGGCAATTTACTATGTCAAACGCTCCAGTAACACATGCAGAAAAATCTAAATCACAGCCACAAGATCAACAACTTCTCTAAAAACCCACCGTTTATTACGTGCCTTCCACAGAGGAAGAACAGCTGATCGGAGTCGCATATGATCGATTAATGCACCAACGCACATCAAAAGTTGATGCGAAGGCTGAAGGACTATTGAAGAAATATATTTCCGAGTTGATGCAAAGACGATTAAGAATCGTCTTGCAGAACTTATGGCGGCTACGAAATCTGTAACTGGTACTCAAAGAAACAGGCTGTTAGTATCATTGTACCTCACGATAGCATGGATTCCGATAGACATCCATGGCATGCAACAAGATGAAATTTGGATAGTTGTCAGCATGAAGAGAAATGGTAATAGTTTGATTTCCAAACAACAAGACGATGCTCTTTAACAATTTAATACCATCGTTCGTGAATGGTTGAATGCCCCCTTCCCTGACGGTAGAACGAGTTGTCGTGATAAGCATGAGGGGCCAGCTACAAGCCCTGACTTGAAAACTTCTGCCTTTCCCTTGGATTGGATAAAGGAGCCTCTTGATGTGAATATTTTTTAATAGTTCCCAAACTTTTAATTTTTCTCGGGCAGTCATGAAGTCTACTCTGACCAGTCGGTTCTGAAAAAGTGGAATACGTCAATCCATTAGCGAAATTAAATTTTCATAACAACTTCGTGTCCTCCCAACGGTTTACCGCCTCATCGCGGCTGGGAGGTGTTCTTGGGCGTCAGACTGCGATGTACAGCGGATGGATTCGTCTCCCGGCAGGACCTCCCTAGCTGAGAAGGAGTACGGCGTTTCCATTAGAAAGCCCAACTGAGCAAACCAATACCAGGATTCATCACCGTTCTAGTATCAAAGTCGCATGGTGGTAAATCTTCCTCTGATCCACAAGTGCTGCGACTGCCTGTCGTGGTGACAACCTGGGGCAGACTTTGGCCAGGCTGTCCTCGTGATTCCAGGGAACCAAAATGGCTGAACTAGCAAATCTCCGAAGAATGTTGGTTGTGCTGGGACCCGCACAACTAGTGAGGACAGGCCGCTCAAGTATCAAGTAGATAACAACCTCGTGTAAGTTGAACAGTCTTAGAAGATATTACTGTCTTATGGTTAGTATGTTTCAGCCGTGATGTGGTGAAAAGGAGAAATGAGTGACGAGGTCGAGGATTGCTTTAAACATGTGCTTGCGAACATTTACTTTTAAACTATTACTATAATTTTTGCTTCCATTACTAATATAATATTGGAAATGCTCAGAATGCACACAATTTTACCAACGAGAAACGCTTGTTTATACCAGCCGTGTAAAATTCTAGAATTCTGAAGGGTATATTAGTCATTGAAAGTATTGATTTTTTCTGTTTCTTTGAAATTCTGAGCATTTCCAATATTATATTAGTCATTGAAAGTAGTTTCGGCCTGGGCTTGGTTTCTGAAGCATTTCTCGCACAGGACGTTATCGGGATTCTTGAAAAATTGCTGTCAGTGGGCGAGGATTCTGGAGGTCATGATGAACAAGGCAAATTGTCGAATTCCAGCTCGTTCAAGCGTTCCTCCTTCGACAATGCCATGCGTGGGTGTGCATTAGTTGGAGAAATAGTGACCTTTCTTGTTGGCCAATTCGAGGCACAACAGTAGAAGTTCCTGATGCATTTCGTCGATGCCAGACGTACTTCTTTGCTTTCCTCGTTCCACTCGGATTCGGAAATCCACGGTGGATTAAAGTAGCCACAGAACACTTAGCTGTCAGCTTGATCGTCTTTGCTCGTACGTCCGGCTTTGTGAAATGCTGCGGAGCTTCATCGCCGTCGAACCACTGAGCCAATCGTCCTCAGTTATCGCAGAGGACACATTTATCGTCATACATCACAATGCGGTCGAGAACTGGATCGTGTTAGTAGTGTAGAAGAAGTGCCCACTATGGCAGCGATGATTTCGTTGATTGTATTGGAAATCGTGCAAACGAATTTTTCGAAAATGTGGTTTTGATACCTGGAAGGTTAACCTTCAAAACCTGTCCGAAATACAATTTGTGTTGTAATTCATTTGTACGGAGCTAAAGTGCATAACATCAGTTTTGCAATAATATATCGCAGTCTTTGTAAAAGAAATATTTACCTTTTATTTTCTGACTTCTATAACTTTTATGGCAGGGTATGTTGCGAAATATAACTTCTATAATGCTGAGATATTTGCAAAACTCCGGAGCGCAGGTGTCTGCGGTGGGGAATGAACGCATGCGGATCCTTCGTTTCGCTTGTTTCTCAACTAGTTCTGTCAATCAGTGCCGTAAAAAAATATTGCTAAAACATATTGAAGAAAAATGAAACTACAACTTAGGCAACCATTTCCGAGAAATCATACGTATCTAATATTCTCTATATTTTTACAGCGTTAGTATGTGTTCCAGAATTAATGGGAGCGTGTAGAGCAGTGGTTGGAGGCTCTGCAATACCCATGGGATCGATCTCCGCTCCCAGGCCTACCTAGCCTTCCATTCCTTGGTGTCGGCAAATTGTTACGAGACTCGTCTAGGAAGCACTGGCTCGATATATTGGTAGGCCACCTCGAGTCATTCTAAAGGCCAGATGTGCAATCCATCACCTCTAACGATCCTTAATAAAGTCGAATGCATGGCGCATCCCTCAACCCCGAGAGCTTTTTCTCTGTCATACATATTTTAGTTACTAGTTCTACTGCTCTCTATAACTACTATGCTACTCAAAACTCTCTCTCAAGGAAATGGTAAAGGGTGTTCTTGTGTGATTTTGACGTGCAGCGGGGGTTCAGTATCGGAAAACTACATAAGTTAGAAAAAAGGAGATGGACATTTTTCAACAGCATGAAACCTAGCTAGAGCAAAACTATGTAAACTTAGAATACGGTTATCTATCTATGGAAACCTTTTTTATCTAATGCAATAAAAGCTGATGAACATTTATGAGGAATATCAGGTGACTTTCGTGGTTCTCCAGAAACCAGGTCCATCTGGGCAGCTCTGACAAGGTTTCAAGACGAATACAGAACTCAAATGCTGTTTACAACATCAGTTATAGTACTGCCAGTTAGTTTCAATTTTCTAAGGCAGAAGAGCAGTTTTTTCTTCGATCTACGATAAAATCATAGCGCTGATCAATCACTTTTCGATCGAGACTTCTTTTTTCGATTCTTTTCCTACCTCTTCAAGGTAGACATCGTAAAAGAAATACACCGTTCGATGTTCTGCGCACTTATTTCCTTTCCTCCAATCACATTCATCTTCGAATTCAGTTCTACCGATTATCGTAATCACTTTGTTTTCCCTCTTCTCCATTACTGCGTTATCCTGTCAGTATCTATGGTCCCGAAGTATAAGATAGATGGCTTGGATACTAATGAATGGTTGTTCTGATGAGTGATCTGTTATGCATAGAAGTGGTGACGATTGTTTATGAGCTTTGCTGTGGATTACGAATCTGTCTTTCTCTTTCCACAAGTATATGTTGAATGCCGGTTTTCTTCAGAGATCGAATGCAACCCTACTAGGGTATTTTCAGGTCTCCACCATAGGCAGTTGCCACCGTTTTAACTCAGACGGAGGTCTGACTGGATACACCTAGGATTCCTCAACTATGTCGATGACTCCTACGACTAGCCGGCCAACCGATCGAGGGCAATGTAAAAGGTGCAGCCATATTTGATATATATATATATATATATATATATATATATATATACGAATACATGCATACCTTTTTAAGTCAGAACAGTTTGGTATTAGTTCACATGGTCTAAAAAAGAAGAAAGTGATATACTGACTGGCACTGACTTCTTTGGTTATTACTAAGTTTTTTTTGTTTCTTCCAACCTCATTTCTTTGCTGTAATTCCAGTTCGCTGCTTGGTGCATACCTTTTAACTTTTTCACCCAAAATAACTCCAATGACTTTTCACTCTTGCAACAGTGACCTGTCTCATTAGCGATGATGTACCAACCGCCTTCAATGATGAAAACGACCCTATACTACAAAGCTTACTAAAATCTACTCGCCTTAGGGTTACGAATCAACCATGTTATTTCTAATTCACGAAGGAGTGACCTCTTACGAAACATTTGACTACACTGTCAACAATTTGCTGAAGAAACTCACGATCATCTCAATCGCTGACGTTATGCCGCATACGCGACGCCGCGTGCGAAACATTGTCCACGAGAGGTGCATGAGAAACATTGTTCGCAAGAGTGCCATCAGTAATGAAGAACAATACCCTCTGGATGATAGAAAACAGCACGCACGCATACAACTTAATCAGCTCTATGAATGAACACTAGAACCAGATCTTTTGCTATCAGCAATCACCCGACAACGGAATTGATCTGAGCAGCCCAAATCGGCATTGAACCCAGTTAAGCTAAGACTATAGTTATAATCATAAAACTAGCAAAAAGACAGGCAAAACGAAGGATCCGCATGGTGTGGTGGTGAACGCTTTACTCTCCGGAAAGGAGAATAGCGCGTTCGTTCCCACCGCAGACACCTGCGGTCTGGAGTTTTGCAAACATCTCAGCATTTTAGAAGTTGTATTTCGCAATATACCCTGCCATTAAAAAGAATAGGTGGTAAATAAAAAGGTTAAGACTAGAATCAGATTCATTAGCGTGTTACATTTAAGGGATAAAGCTAAAGGAGGAAGCTCTCGGCGTTGATCGATCTCTGAGGGATGCGCCGTGCATTCGACTTCACGAAGTATCGTTAAAGATGATTGAATGCCTATCTAGCCTATACTCGCAGCGGAAAACAGATGTATCGAGTCAGTGTTAGTATCCTCCCAGACAGGCCTACTAGCAATGCCGACCCCGGGAGATGGAAAGTTTGGTGAAGTTGGGGCGTGTGATCGATCCCATGTGTGTTACAGAGCGCCTTTGACCATTCCGCTACAAGCGCAGCCCATTTGAGAGGTATTATTTGGATAAATGTACAAACGCTGAACCAACACTGTCGAACAAGTGTAATAGCGCACTCGAATGAGAACACCAAAGTGCTCTTCTCTTTCCTTGAGATGCAAATTCACTTGAAAGCTTTCACCTATAGATTTCTTATTTTATTTTACAACATACGTCATCAAAGCTACTGTGCGGATTCCAGAACTTCTAGTATTCGATTCGTTGTCCCCGAATTCATCGTCCACAAGGTCTTCGAATACTTCGCGCGCTGTGTCGGCTTCTACTTAAGCACTTTATCTTATTCATGAATGCCGTAGAATGCTAGTCGAGTCGATTCTCACTGAAATCTTGGGAATAGTCAAGCAGGGGTATTCATATGTGGAATGGGGAGAGCGGTGTGTAGGGTGTGGAACCAGAACCTTTCTTCTTAACGAACTGCATCACTAACCACTGCACCACTCCATTCCCTCCTCCTGCTCCCTTACTCATGAATAATCGCTGAATATCTGGGGCAGTGTTTAGCCCTACGTTTTGATATTTTTGCTAGCATATATCATTCCGACGTGACTAAGTGACACACCAGGCGACATCTGGTAGCTAGTTACAGTACACCGACTGCTGTCATGTGTGCAGTCATGGTTGACCAAGGATTTTCGGACAATAAAAACAACGCCGATGTCAAATCACGAGGAAAGAAAGCCGTAATGTAGCAATGGGACTAAACAACCATTCTCTCAACAACATCAGAAACAGCAAAAACAACAACAACAACGACAACAACAGCAACAACAACAACAACAACAACAGGAGCAATGTGAAACTGCGAAGCGCGTTTTTAACTAGTAGAGATCGATTATGAGTAATCGGCAGACTTATCGTATTACATTCCCCGTTCCTAATAAACATTAAAGCTATGTAGTTTAAAGTTCATCCATTATAAACAGAACATCTACAACCATCATTTACATACGCATACTAAATTCCTGGAACTATCCGCTGCACTCTATCTATCTAAGTCTGGAAATCAATATGATGAACGACCTAGCACCAAAGCTGAGCAGAAGGAAACGAACGGCTTGAGGAGCTTTCAAGAGCATCGAGGGCGTAGTGAAGAGAACAAAGAACACCCGACTCCGTGCCCACCTTTTCGACTCAACGGCACTTCCTGCCCTAACATATGCGTCAGAAGCCTGGTCGCTGCGTAAGCGGGATGAAAGGTCACTCAGCGTTATCGAGCGCGCACCCGCAAGGATGATGCTAGGAGTATCCCGTTCCACACAAGTAAGGGATGGGATCCGAAGCTCCGATCTGCGTCAACTATCAAAAATCGAAGAAGCCGTTCTGTACGACAAACAGTCGATGATAAGGTGGGCCAAACACGTAATGCGTATGAATGACAACCGATGGACAAGAGCCGTTAGTGAGTGGATTCCTCGGGATGTCAAACGTACTGCAGGAAGACCACCGACGCGATGGTCAGAGTTCTTCACGAAGAGCCTTGAAGAAAGATATGATGCTCGACGAGTGCGCAGAGCGAGCAGATCCCACTGGGCTACTCTTGCACGCGACAGGGAAAAATGGAAGATTTACTGGCGCCCGCTCGAGTCACTCGACGATCAGCGGGACTACAGGTGATCCGATGTACAGTCATTACCACACAGTCGGGATTAGGACGAGTATTTTCAGGACCTATTATTTAGAGAATTATCGGGCTTAAAGGAGAAAATAAGGAAAAGACACACCCATTCGGTTTCTGTAAGTCGTGCTGGACTGAACTCCGACTGTACGAACAATATATTACGGCCGTCAAAAGGACATCTTATCATGACAGCTAGTGTTTCCAGTCAATCCATCAGATTAGATACGATGATTACACGGCCATCAAAATAGTAATGTTCGGTAAAGCTTCGAATTGCAGTAGACAGACGTATTCACGCACCGTCCAATAGTAATCGTGTAGGATGAATGAAATCCGTGAAATACTTGCTCGTCTGTTTTGCCGGATTACGCGATTTCCGTTTAAACGTCAAACTTAACCACTTTCCATTGTGTACTGCCGATCTGTTGACAATGACTACTAAAAATCAAGTACGCGAGCTGCTTAGCGTAGTACCGAACGTACGAGTGTACGTGTTTACGGTCACCGCGCAGTATACGTTGTGACGAACGCCGAACGGGGCAGTATGGGTTCAACGGAGTGCAGCAGACACAAGTCTATCGCGCCCTCGCTAGGGGGCGCGCTTTCGCTGCCGTCGGGTTAGTCGCCCTCAGCCTCCGTCCAACCTCCATCCAACCTCCATCCATCCTTTCAGCCATCCATTCCTCCATCCATCGATGGAAGGACTGCACGTGCCAATCATATTACTGGTCTGGATGTTATGCATAATATTTCTATACAAGCACTTATATTTGTCTACTTCATTGCACGTTGTTCTTTTCGTTTGTACTTCATTTTCTTGGCGACAAGAGGTTTCACCGTATTTGTTTGACACCATCTTAGCCCAAATATTAATTACTTCTTATCACTCTTCTGACTTATCATTTGTAATTTTTCAGTTTGTGATGCAGATTATAATGTATTGAACACTAAATTAATCACATAGCATTTCAAATGTACATTATTGAATTCATCGTTGTTTTTCCTAATGCAATTCCGGGGTTTCCATCAAAAAGTCCAGCCAAGAGTGAACAAATATCGGGATCCACCACCGTCCTGATATCGAACTAGTCATCTGCTAGCGAATCTCCCTCTGATCCACAAAGGCGACGACTGCCTGTGATGGTGGCGACCTGGTGTTGACTTTGGCCAGGTTGATCTCAGTACTCCAGAAAACCATAGTGGCTAAACTAGCAAAACGCCGAAGCAATGGAGGTTATGCTGGGTCCCGCACAACCAGTGAAAACGGGCCATCCAACTATCCAAGTAAGTGATGTGGTTCATATGCACAAGAACGTGCATTCGTAAATGTTTTCCTCTCAACGTCCTAAATTTGAAGTGCTTCTTTTATTTCCAGGACTTCTGAGTTTCTTGCTCTTCCTGTTTGAGCACAGAACGTTGTTATTCAAGTACTGATTAGTGCTGACTACTAGTTTCCAAGTACCTGCCTTCTCCTTTTTCCTCATATATCTTCCTCTTCTTCTTCTCCTTCTTCTTCTTTCATCATCATCATCGTCATCATCATCATCATCATCCATCATCATCATTATCATCATCATCATCATCATCATCATCCATCATCATCATCATCATCATCATCATCATCATCATCATCACCATCTTCTCCTTCTTCTTCTTCTTCTTCATTAACTTATCTTTGAAAGACCTCTATATTTAATGCATGTAATGCAGATGAACTCGCCGAAGAACTAGTCTCTCTCTATAGTGTACGAAATTCCCACTTACATTTTCATCCATGACCTTTTAGTCCAGGCTTATTCTTTAACTGCGTTTCAGGATGGGTGGACACCGCCGTGATCAGAGTGATAGCCACGTTCCGTTACGGCCTTCTGCAGATTTTGGAATTGAAGGGACGGAACTTCAGGTGAGATATAACTTTTGGTCTTTTAGTCGTTATTTAGCGCTTAACTAAGGTGATTGTGGTCATCTAGGTGGACAATCATGATTCTACCAATAGCGACCAGACGACGAATAACTCTTTGGGAAATATTTAATTTCTCTTTCATTAAGGTACGACTTGAGAGCTCTCAACACTCGTTACCTTCACCAACATGCAATGGCATCACTATCAATATCGATCCAGTGGATCCCGTGCCAAGTCGCTTAAGTCCAAAACTTGTACGTTGACAGAATGGCTCATCTATCTTTACTTTTTGTCTGATGTTTTCAGTGAAAATACAATCGGATAATATTTGTGTAGCGAAGGCTACACACATTGTAGTTAGGGTTAAAAACGCGAACTTTTTTCCTTTTAAAAAAAATCGGCGGGAGTTCTATCATTTCTCGAACCTTACTAGTTGGTGTTTTCTTCTGTCTGTACCGGTAAAGTCAGCAATTGAGACATAATCATTGCATCTACTTTCTTTCGAGAAAATACCACGGAGTAATTTCAATTGTTTTGACTCGCCCAAAGATGTAGATATTCGAGTTTCACAGAGTTATGTTGGCAAACTAGCCGAAAAAACAAATTTGCAATGCATTTTTGCAATATGTTTTCCAATTTATTCTTTTACTTTATCTTTTCTTTCTTTTACTCTTCGCACCGTGTAGAAAAACTGCTGCCAAATTAAAAGGATAAAGCTGTCGGCGTTGATCAATCCTTAAGGGATGCTCCATGCAGTCGTCTTCATTAAGCGCTGGAGGTGAATAAATTAATATCTGGCCTTGACAAGGACTACTCGTTGCCCTACGATCTATTGAGCCAATGTCGCTATCCTACCCAGACAAGTCTACTACCAATTTACTGACTCTGGAGGGATGGAAGGCTTGGTGAGGCTAGAGCGTGTGATCGATCCAATGTGTATTACAAAGCGCGTCCGACCACTTCGCTATACGCGCTCCCAATATTGATTGAGTGTCGTTATTAATTTATTCCTCCTGTTAATGTTAGCTTTTTATTTGCTGCCTAATACAATTTTTGAAGGCATCGTATTATGTAAAATACAACCATAATAATGTTGAGATATTTGCAAAACTCCGGACCGCAGAAAGGCGAAACTAAGGACCCTCATGGTGTGGTGGTGAACGCGTTAGCCCCCAGGAAGGGTAACAGTGCTTTCCTTCCCCACCGCATACATCTGCGGTCCCAAGTTGTGTAAATATCCCAGCATCATTATGGTTGTATTTTACATAATACCCTACCGTGGAAAATTGTAGTAGGCAGCAAATAAAAAGTTAACATTGTAGATCCAATCTTTACTTATCTCGGCATCGGCAATGTATTGCTCATGTTTCCCGTACGTGTCAAAACCGATTTCACGCAAACAAATCCGCCGAGGTAAATTACCTCGTTGCCACATTACGGGTTTCCGGTTCGTTCTGTTCGATTTCGTGAGTAGTATTTTCAAGGCGAGCTATAATCTCATTGATGAACCATGCCATTCCGGTCTAGGAGATGGGATTTCGTGTTTATAACTCCGTTAAGGTTGTTTATGATAACTCGCCCACCCGTCATTCCTCATCTCATGTTTGTAATCTTCGTTTTTTTTCTTTTTTTTAAAATATTAGTCGTTTGTTTCGATGAATCACTTCAGAAATGAGCGCCCCTCGCCTGCCCGCCATCCTTGCAAATGTGTTACTAATTTTTCACCAGTGCATATTTTTCTATATTCTTTTTCGTTTTACTTTGTAATGACCATATTTTGGTGCCAATTTTTCCTTTTCTCATGAGCAACATTGAAGAAGTTCAATAGTGATTCCTTCGTCATCTGTTCTTCGGAATTCGTGATGACTGCAGCGAATCTTGTGATCGCAACATCAATCACTTCTAATGTTGCTGTTCTTCAATTTTGTTATTTGTATATCCTTGTTGTTGGTGCTAAACAGTTTTGGTGTCTTAATTTTACCATTCACTTAAATTCTTCATCAATCGTTAACCAGTGGCAATTTGGGATTTGGTCCAGCTATCCCCACATCCTCTTGTTTTTGGTTACATCACAAACCAGTCTCTGTAATCACCCTACACGGTTAGGTTCCATATAGTTACAACCCATAGGTGCCTCCGTTATTAAATTTTCTGGAGAGGTTTGCGACCAGTTTTAGAAATCACTTGCATAGCTTGTTCAGAAAAGGCAATGGCTTGTACCTGCGTTGAAGCGTTACAGATGCATCCACGTCGTTCCGAAGGACTCAAGACAGCAATAGCGTTCTGTTGCCTAATGTTATCTGCATTCCTGAATTTCTTCCTTCTGACTGTAATTCATGATGTCGTTCCACGTCAGCCGCTTCCTGATCTCACTTTCATGATCATTCCTCAACAGAAATGGGCTTGGTCAGTAGGCGATGTGCTGTCCACCGTGAGGTAACCATAACAACTTATAGGACAATTTAGTTTTTGGAATGTTGTTATATCTTCGTATCATGTTTCACTTTAATCGTGAATAACCGGTACTCCTCATAATCTTTTCAATTCTAGTTCTGTGATGGCATTCACAGTCGTACTTCTTCACCATGAACGATGGGTCGTTTTACGTCGGATGTTTCTTCTTGGTGCAATTATGTATGGATTGCGGGCCGTTGTTTTAGGAGTTAGTCCTGATTCCACCACCACATTGTTCATTTGCACTTGATTTACACTTATTTTTGTGTGGTGTTCTTCGTCTATTTCTGTCTATCCAGACAAGTCCTATGGTTACTAATGAGTTGTTTTATGTCATATAGTGTCAATCTCTTTACAGTTTTCTTGTTCATGTCTGTATAGGTGACGTTTCTACCTCCGTCATTCCATGATCGTGATGAAATCTGTTTGTCTCAAGTAAATCGTTCAGCTATGTACGGTATGGAAATCGCAACTAGGTAAGGATTCTTTTAACATCCACATTTTTATTGAGTTATTAAGATTTTTGATTACGCTAAGGATTTTTCTTAACGTTCACATTTTCGTTGAGCTATTGAACTTTTTGATTACACTGCTTTTCCTTCAGTATCGAAAGCGTCTAGGTGATTCCTCAAATGTTTCAAATAAGATTCTCCTACGTTTTCTATTTCTTTTGTTGCTCTCTTAACGAAAAACTCTCTAATACGGACTTGTCGCTAATGAATGATAGACCTATCCTAAATGTACTGAAACTGTGTAATCACAGCTACTTTTTCCGGTTTATCAGCTTTATGTTACAGACCACCAATTAATTGTGGTAGTCGAATCTTAGTTCCTACTTGTTTTATGTAGAACTACTGCACTGTTTGCTTTTTATAACCTATTCCAGATTTTTGACTTATGTTGTCACATTGGGACTTACATCTGGTCAGGAAAAAATCCTTTGTGGTGACTTAATGTTTAGTGGGCACACAGTCGTGTTGACCATAATGTATTTTGTTCAATTGCAATATACTCCGAAAGGACTTATCTGGTTAAGGTTTGTGCTAGCTTGCTTCACTTTTATCGTCTTCCAATCTCATGGTATTTTTTAGGTATCTTGCTGCTCCTATAACGTTTCTTGGAATTAGCGCTTTAGTGGTGTCAGGAGGACATTACACAATGGATGTGCTCATCGCATACTGGTTAACCAGCCATGTATTTTGGGCATACCACCAAATATTTGAGATGCCGAGAAAGGATCGTCCTGATGCTCCGCTGAGTAGACTTTGGTTAGTGGGATACATTCTTATCTAAATGTTAACTAAGGCTAAGTGACCGATGATACTTATCAATGCAGTTTCCTGATCTGCATTGATTGAAGTTGTTTGGGGTTTAGAGTGAAATGACTTTTTTGGTCAAATGTCCTTTCAGCTATTATTTTGCATTCCTATTAAGTTTCCTTCTCAGGCATCGTAGTAATCATTTGCATTCATGCGCTTATGACTTTAGATTACGATTTCTGTTCGTTTTCTTTCTGTGTGAAAAGTAAGGGAACGTTAATATAGGTTGACAGCCAAAGTTTTAGAACAGTAGAAATTCTTAAGTAACTTTCAAGTAACTTTTGTTCATGTTTTACATTTAAAAGGGAACTACTATCTTATTGTTTATACTGGTTTGATGGTGGTTCTGATGGTTTACTTTAGTGTTAGCGTCATATTTCCTTTATTATCTAGCTTAAATCTATTCCCGTTGCTTTGTTACTTAAGCTAGACATTTAATCGTATAGAAAACGTATTGTTTCATTTAGGAAAAGGAAGGAGACGAAAATAGAGAATGGCTAAATGTGGCTATCAATCATGAAAACGAAAATTTTAAAATAACTCTTCATCACTAATTCATAGAAAACTATTGCAACTGTGACGCAAAGCTTGCCTTCTTTTTGAAGGATGCCCTGTCTTGTTATAAAATTAATGAAGGAGCTTTGAAAGTTAATAAGAAGTTTAGTTTTTGTGTTTCTCTTATTTCTTTCTGAGTCACGTAGTAGGCGTTTTTGATGAGAATTAACACCATGCACGCAAAACTAAGCGGTACTTCATAGAATAGTCGCGTATTATTTACTGCGAGTTATCATTCTGTTTGGTTGCCATAGGAATTCGGGCGAAAGAAGTCCTTTATTTCACCAGACTTGTGGAATTACTGGCATAGCTGTTATGAATCATACCATTGTCTTATTTATTAAACCTACTTTGATACTTGTATAGCTCATCTTCACTAGTTGTGCGGACCCCAGCATAATTTCCATTTTTTTTTTCGGAGTTTTGCTGGTTTAGCTATTGTGTTTCCCTGGAGTCCCGAGATCAGCGTAGCCAAAGTCTCCCGGGTCGTCATCATCACAAACAGTAACCACCGTTGTGGAAAAAAAGGAGATTTGCCACCATGCGTTTAGGTAATGGATCTGGTAAAGTGTATGAACTCCCCCCTACTGTATATCGCAGCTCGACACCCAGAAACACTTAGCCACAATGTAGTGGTAAACCGTTGGAAGGTAGTTATTAAAACGTGCTGCAAACCATTTTATTGTTGTCATTAAATATGTATGTCGTTATCTTTTGTCCTTTATACGATTTTTAGGTGGTTCTGGTTATGCTACTGGTTCGAATCGGATGTTAGCGAAGGTCGATTGGTGAATCATTGGAATTGGCCGTTCGAAGAACCGCGAGCGATGCATGATGTAATGCGACGACTGAACAGAATGCTTGAATAGCACCAACATGTACATCTTCTCAATTGAGTCAAGGTTTCATTCATCTTGTATTGACTCACAGGGCTTTGGATCTCATAAAAATCACCGGTTAGTTTAGCTTCACTAATTTCAACAAAATATTCAAAAACTAGTTTTAAAGTAGCTCTTTGCAGGTTTATAGAATTACACCAACACATGTTCCAGTGATCTCATTCCGAATTTATCATTACTTTTCGCTAATTCATCCATTTTTTCTTACTTTGTTTCCATTTTGTTTTCTGTCCGTACAATTGAGTGCTTAATAGTCGTACCTGACTTTAACCATTAATCGTGCAATGAACGAGTGCTATCACTACAATTATTAGTGCTAAGTGGAATCCGTGTTTGGCATTCCGTCTTAAACTTACTGGTTTGCGAATTCTATCGTTTTTTTTTCAATAATTTATCATATTTTGAATTTAGCAGGTTTCATTTTGTCCTTAAATTCGAATAAGAGGTCGTACTTGACATGCTCTTCTTAGTCGATCCTCTTCATCCTAGACGTCTTTTGATGAAGCGTGATGAGTATTGTCAGATTACTGTTATGGTTTGATTATTGTCGCCATATCTTCTGAGTTGCTTGAACATCTCATTATTGAGTTACATTCAAAGCCAGGCAACAACTCGCTATCGTACTCAGCTTTTAGTCGGATTTCTTATGTGATGTGTAGTTCTACCAGTTGCCATGGTTTCATCCTCTCTCTGTGTTTTCTTATCGAGACAATCCATCTGATCCTTCTAGGCAACAATGGTGATCAAATGCTCCTCAGTGCATAACGCCTTCCTGTACTGGTGATTTGCTACTGTATTTACTACCGATAATTTCGTCAAAATATCACGTGTTTTTCTACGATGTTGATCTATTTCTATTCAATCACTGAGATTTCCAAACATCTCGTCACAGTTTCTTTTCAAACATTTGCCCGAACTTTTTTTTTTTACCGATTTTTATTTTCTTGTTAGTTTCCATTTTTAAAAATTAAGCAAACAGCAGTGGTATCAATTAGTCCTATTGTATAACTACGTGTACACGATTTTTTCGATTGTTTTATATTTTTGGTAGTAAAGAGTTCGAATTTTGCGCTTTGGTTTTGTATGCCACGCGATAGCGCGCGGTTCTGATAATGGAGTAAACAGCAAATACGTATTTTATAAGAACGGTAAAAGCTATTTGTGGACTTGCTGTGTTCTTTCTTATCGAGTTTTATAAAATATTGTCATTAAGGCAGTGTGTTGAGCCGTCCTGCCTCAGCTTGACGATTTTCGGATCTTTTAAGGCTTGGTCAAATATTCCTAATCTATTGATGGTGTAGTAAGTTGATGAATTTTTTCGTCAAATAGAATACTGTTTCACACTTTGAAGATGAACCTGAAACATTCGAAACGTGGATGCTATGATGGACAAGTTAAATGAAAACGAAGGTAGAAAGGCTCCAATTTGAAAATGAGCTCATCATGACGGCTGGCGATCGGAGCATTCTGTATTTCGCTTAAGATTCATCTCATTCAGAAAGAAGAAAAACTGGCGAATTTCAAGGAAGAAAATTCGAAAAGCTATCCGAGATTGAAGTCTTCCACTTAAGGGGGATGTCTAACGACGTTTCAACGTATCTTTCACGAAGTCGCGGTGAACATTCTAGAAGACAATCCACGCCTTTTACAAAGAAAGCCAGCAGAGCCATCCTAGTGCACAAACAAAGGAACTTGCATGCATCATCGAGTATTGATTAATCTCTATCCTGTTCGTTGAACTCCTTTTATCTGAATCACTTTCAGCAAGATTGATAGAACACGAGGAAAAGTGACAATATGAGCAAACAAGGTTTAGAGTATATAAATACGACGAATGATATTCGCATGACTCGAAACTGGAAATCAGTGACGTACAGCCGCACTATATTTGCTTTGCCTATAACTTTTATTTACAACATGATGTCTACCATTTTTTAACGCGTTTTTTGTATCATTAAACAATAGTAAAGAAGTCACTGGTCGTGAGAAGTATACGGATTTTCGATCCCCGACTCCGAAAGAGAAGGATTTCTCCTCTGCCTGTCACGGAGTTGGAGGGAGTGTTTCATCAAATAGATGTGCTCATAGGTCTGGACCATAATTTGATCAGTGGCCTCTATAATAGACTCAAGTCCATGTCTCTCGGGTTAGTCATCAACTGAGTTCTTTTTTAAAGTAGTTATTCATAACATCTCAGTCCGTAGTTTGTGCACTTCTCAACAGGTGACCCCTTCATGACACTCTGTTCTGACCTTTCCACGCTTAAATAAATTTTGTTATTTAGCCTCATGTCAGTTCAACGAGGGAAAACAACTCTGTCCTCTCTCAAGCCAGACATTCTTCGATAATTTTGATTTTCTTCTGAGTGATTCGCAGATCTATTTCTCCTTTCTCCTTTCAGTTCACACGCGTTGCTCCCCGGAAAGGACAATAGCGCGTTCGTTCCCCACCATAGACACCTGCGGTCCGGAGTTTTGCAAATATCTCAGCAACGTTGTGGTTGTATTTCGCTTAGTAACCTGCCATGAAAATTATAGAAGGCAGAAAACAAAACGTAAAACGCTGTACTATTTTATAAAATTTGGAAGCTCATTTTATACAATTTCGCTTCATGTAACTGAATCACAATATAAATTATGCATTTGGAAAACTTTAGAGGTTGGAATTCCAGATGTTATAATAGAACTTTCGAGAAACCCATTCTACCAAACTAGGATCTAGTGTAGCGCAAAAACCCAAAATATAAATGAAGTTTGGGGCTAAGAAAGTGTTATCAAACGCATAGTGCAATATTCGTTTGGAAGATTTCATCGCGGCGAATCCGACTTCCAAGTTAAGGGATGTCGTGAGCGGTATTCTGCTAGTGACCACACAGCTGCAGGTTTCGCTGCAAGAAAAATGCACGCGTAATTTCAAAAACCACCAGAAAAAAATGAACTTGGCATCTCAACTGTTTCGGAGCATTTAAAACAGCTTAGAATTCAGAGAGACTCGACATCTAGATCCCTCACGTATTGAACAGCAATGAAAGCTGTGGCCATTAAGAGATATTGTCGGCGTTCTTCTCAACCAGAATGGGAAGTTTCCTGAGCGTATTGTGACGTGCAACGGGTTAAACGATTACGGTGGAGAACTTCATTCAGCAAATCGACGAAACAATGTAGAAATTTCAACGGCTCTGCTTCACACTTGTTAACAGAAACACCCTTTTCCACGATAGGGCGCGGCCTTACGTCCCACTGCCGATACTGCAGGAGTCGAGAGAGATGGGTTACGAAACTCTTAGTCTCTCTTAGATTCTCTTCTCTTAGACTCTTAGGAACTCGAAATTTCAGGCACCTCGGTAGCTTCCTATGCGACAAATGCTGCAAAAAACGAGGCCGAAACTACTCCACACAACTTCATAGCGTTCTAAAGTCCAGAATTTTGTGAAACTGCTATAAATTAACTTGTTCCTCATTAGTAATAATTTGCAGAATCCAATCATTTTGTTTCGATTAAAAAAGTGCATTCCGAGCTGAAAAAATGTCAGATTAAAGAGATCAGACGTTATTTTCGGGAAGACCTAACAAATAGATGTGGGATCGTTAACAACGGATTGGTTGAATGTGGTTCGTTTTCCTCTTTTCCCACGATGACAGCATTTCCTACCCGTTTTGTAGTTGAAGTGAATTTTGCATGAAGGTAGTTATCCCACTCTGTGCAAAAGAATGCAACGACACTGATGTTGAACGCACTCAATCTTCTGTTCACAAAAGATGCACACCTCTTCGCATGAGTCGCATCGTTTGGGGATTTCTACGTGCACCAGTGATGGTCGTTCTTCTTTAGAAAGGATTTTTCATAAAAGAAAAGAGAGGCAAAAAGTAGTTCCGCAAGACGATTTGCATTTTCTGATTCTGTACTCTTATTCTTGCGTCGTTTCTTAAACCGTCCATAACGAATTCGTAGAATGATTCTTCGTTAGAGACAGCTCTAAATTTTCATAGAGCGCATTAAGTTCCATACCAGCAACTGTTAATTTTGGTGAGCAGCAATTAATGACACCGATTTTCTTCTCATAGGCATGTGCAAGGAGTAGCATGGTAAAGTCTAGAGACAGAATTTTTTGGGAATCAAGAACTGATGGATGCACAATGAAGTCAACGCCACCAACGTAAAGCAATGCAATAGGCGCGTATCCTCTGCTTGATCTAGGATCTCGCTGAGCATCATATGTTGCTTCCAGTGCTTTCAGAAAAGAACGCTAGCCATCGAGTCGGTGACTTTGCTGTTGTGCATTTGACATAACGACTTCTGTCCATAGGTTGTCGTTCAGACGCATGACATCTTTGTCCAAACTGATTTTCAACATTTTGATGTGCGCAACGACGTATGTGATTTTTGATGGGTCATGTAGGTCGGAACTTCGGATCCTCTCCGTTGCGTGAATCGGAATACTTCACACATCGTTCTCTCGACCTGGTGCTTGCTAAGCTTTAATGAACTTTCGTCGTTCTTATATAGCGACCAGGTTTTTGGCTCGTACGTTAAGGTAGGGGACAGAATGAAAAAGTGCCCACGAAATCGCTTGTTTTCAATCCTCTTAAATACATGCGCACTGCCTTTGAAAGCTGCCCAAGACGCTTGCTTCCTCTTTCCTAATTCGAGAACTAAGTCGTTCATAATGTTGATTTCCGAACTAGGTAGGCGTAGGAGGTGTAATAAGAGATACTTATACCGTAGAGCTTGAATAGGGCATACGAATCGAGTCGGTTCCTCATGAACACACTGTTCTTCATGCACACCGTTTTTATCGGATTTAGTCCAAGTCCAATCTTTCCAGAAGCGTTATCAAAGTCGGCTAACATTCATTACGCTTAGCTGATGCTTGCTATTACAAGAACGATGTCATCAGTAAAGCGAACATGGTATGATTGCCGACCATCTAATTCCCCTCCCAGATTGCCCCATTCCAATTTTCGCATAAC